CCGGGGGCTTAAGTGGAGAGGAAATGTTTTGAGAATGATGAGGGCAATGAATGTACAAATGTGCTTTATACAATTGATGTATGGATGGATTGTGATAAGAGTTATATGCGCCCCTAATAAAACAATAAAAAAAAAAAGAATGAAGCATTACAGAAGCAGAAAGGGAGAATCCCAGGATCATCAAGGAAGAAGAATCACCAGCAGAGCACTTTCAAGATCCCTTCCTTAATTAGCAGAAGTCAAGAACATAGGTAATAGAGGGCAAGGCACAAAGATTATAGAACAGAGCAAAGGAGCCATGCCAGAAAAGAGCAGAGGGGCTAGGTCCCTGAGAACTGAGCCTGTGAGACAGTGAGATGGAGCAGCAGGTGCATTTCCTAATCCACAGAGGTAGAGGTTAGAGGATCATGTGACTGAGGCTAAGGGCCAGGGAGAAACGTGGCTACTGGCTAAGAAGAGAGCTGTGGACTAAAAAACTGGACGTTTAATGTTTTATGATCTTGACTTGTAATCAGTTAACTTGCCTAATAGATTTCCCCCAAATATTGACAGAGTATTGTCTGTGAGTTCTATGTGGTCATTGCAATGAATTATTGAATCCAGCAAAAAAGTAGTGCTATGGGAGGAACAGTTGATGTCAGAAAAGATAAAGAAAGATGAAGGTTGGTGGCATGTTTAGCCTCTACTTTGCTGCAATTGTCTTTGTATCCTTAAGAGATATTTTCTTAAAGAATACAGGATATCTTTTGATAGCCGGGCATCATCCGCTTTTTTCATCACATTTGCTTATGCACCCATTTTTAGAACATATTTGCTTATGCATACATTATTAGAACAAAGTGCTCTTGCATTAAGGGAGTCCTTGAGTAGAAGTCCAATGTCCACCTGCTACCTTAATACTTAACATATAAATATATGTACATAGATCAATTTCCCTATTGTTATCTATAAATATATTTATATATGTACAAGTCTGTATTTAGACCTCTATAAGTGTCCTTTGCCTCCTAGTTCTTTCCTCTATTTTCATTTACTTTCCTGTTCGGCCTTCATTCAGGTTTCAGTAATTCCTCTTGGCTATACTGCCCTTAATCAAGCCCCACAAAGTCATCTTATGCCCTCCTCGCCATTGATTTTAGATTGCTTGTTATTCCCTTGTCCCTGGGTTGGTTGACACCCCTTGCCTTTCCCCCTCCTCCCTCTTCCATGTCCCCCTGGAACCGTTGGTCCATTGTTTTCTCCTCCAATCGTTTATCCTGCCTATCTTATCTAGATAGATATGCAGAGATAATAATAAGCACAAAACCAAGACAGAGCAAAGCAAAACAACAAAGAGAAAACAAAAAAAAAAATAAAACAACAAGGGTCTAAAGGCTTAAAGATAAACAAGCAGCCATCTAGCTGAGAAGCAACAAAGCCCACATGGAAGAAGCACAGCAGTCTACGTGATCATGAGGTGTCCATGGGATCAGGTATCAGGCATCAAAGACCCAGAACAAAAAATTATTCTCAATGTGAATGAGAGGGAGGGCAGAGTGGAGACACAAGCCCATCTGGAGACAATTGGACAATCCAGACAGGGTGCACAGTTTAGCACCAAAGAAGCATACAACTTTCCTCTAGTTCTTTAATGCTTCCCCACCCCACCCCCCCACCCCCGATGCCCCACAATCCCAATCCCAATTCTACCTCACCAATTAGACCAGAGAATGTATGGTACAGATAAGAACTGGAAACACAGGGAATCCAGGACAGATAAACCTCTCAGGACCAATAATGAGAGTATCAATACCAGGAGGTAAGGGGAAGATGGGGGGAGAAAGGAAGAACCAATCACAAAGGTCTTCAAATAACCCCCTCCCATGGGGATGGACAACAGAAAAGTACGCAAAGAGAGACATCGGTCAGTGTAAGACGTGAAAAAAAATAGTAATTTATAAATTATCAAGTATTTATGAGGGAAGGAAGGTGTGGGAAGGGGAAACATGAGCTGATAACAAGGGTTCAAGTAGAAAGAAAATATTTTGAAAATTATGATGGCAACAAATGTACAAATGTGCTTGACACAATGGATGTATGTATGGATAAGAGCTATAAGAGCCCCTAGTAAAATGATTTTTTAAAAATACAGGATAATCAAGGAGCTTGGTATGACGATGTCTTAGTGAAGAACTGCACTGGTGAGGAAAAGACTAAGAAAGCTGCACTGACTAATATTTTTTCCCCATCAGGACAATGCACCTGTTCTTGAAAAGCCTCAAGGCTGTCCTACAAGAATTTCATTGGAATGGAAGTCTTATCTCATTCCATCCACCCCACAGCATTAACCTTGCCTCTTTAGACTTATTTTCATCCCTGAAGCTCATAAAGCATTAAAAACAAACAGGTTTTGAGTTCATCGAGCATGTCAAAACTATCCTATTGACATGTTATAAATTAGAGATCACAAAAGAGTCTTATGGTAGGGTATGAGAGATGGAAACACCACCACCACCATCACAGATACACATATACATATAGGGGTCAGTGTGTCTCTATGTATATGTATATAGATATATATAACAGAAATTATATACTATATAAATGAAATATTTATAAAAATAAGTTACATAGAGATTTAAATGAAAAACTACTAGCTTACCTTGGGGAACCATGTAGATTTGTGCCAGAGATAGCAGATGTAAGATTCTGCTCTATACGCTGATAATTCCTTATCTGAGTAGGGACTGGAATTGGTGCTGTTTCACTGTGAGAGGATAAAAGAGGTTGACATTGCCTGCAACCATAATTGATTGAAAAAAAGAAATAACAGTCAGATACTTTTTATTTCCTGTGACCCATTGACAATAGAGAAAATTCTAAGACATGCATGCTCACTTTTATATATGAAAAAAAAAACGATCTTATAAATAAATAAAGCTGAAAAAACACACCCAAGATTTTAAAGGACTCCTCTGGTATTCCTATGCATAATGGAGACTATGATTTGGAACAAAAGTTGGAAAACAATTGCTCTACATTAAGATAAAAATTCTGATAATCGTGAAGATGGCACCAGATCTGGAAGTACTTTGCTCTATTGTATATAAGGTCACCTTGAGTCACAGCCAACCCAACTAACAACCACTACATAGGCGGCAGAGTGATCACTGATGTCCAAATTTCAGATATTCCAGGACCACACTGATGACGTCTACTTCATCTGTTATCTAAACCTTTTAATATAGTGAACCCAGACTCACCCTAATAAATAATAACAGCTGAGAATTTTGCATTAGCGATAATTTCCCATATATATTAAATTAAAACCATAAACATCAACCAAAAAAAGAAAAATTCTGTAAGTCAGCAAAAAGTTTCATCTACTCATACTCTATTAATTTAACATAACAAAATAATATTTCTAGGATAATATGCTGAGTTAAAAAAACAGGAAATTTAAAAAAACAAACAAAAAACAGGAAATTCAAGAGCAAAAATGACTGGAATGTTTGTTATAAATGTAATACATGCTCCCAAGAAACTTTTACCTTATGAATATTGAGTACATTATGCATGAGTACATATGAAACTCTCAAAATATATAATTGATCTAAGGTGTTTATGATTGGTAAATCTTAAGCCTCTTTTCTTGTTTTTCATAAATTCAGAAATAGTATGTGTAGGACACTAGTTAGGGCTAAAAAATGATCCCAGTTCAGCTAAAGCAGGCATTCCCAGTGTAACTGAAAGAGAAGCAAGGTTAATGGGAGGCTACTCCCCTGAAAGTCTTAGCTACCCATCTCCAGACATCAGATTCTACAGTAGAAACCCTCACCTATTGTCTCATGAAGGTGAAAGGATGACATCTGCCTCAGCAGCATGTGTGAACAGTAATCATGAAGGCAGACTAGGACCCCCTTGGCTTTGTACAGACTCAGAAGTTGGGAAAGAGTGGTAGGAGAAATAGATTCCTCCCTTGGTAGTTCTGCCTGTCACACCCCAACCACCAAGTATAGATCACTAGGATTTCTGACCCCACAGTGCCAGCAACATGTCAGTAGGTGGGAATATACCATGGCAATTAGTAAAGCACCTGATATGGACAGGAGAGGATGTCGCTACTTGACTATTCAGCCCATGGGACACCAGGGCATGAAATGACCAAAATGGCCTGTTACCACGCACCCAGCCCTGTAACAGCACCTTTATGCTGTGATGAACAAAGAACAGGATGTCCCTTCTCTTTGGGATCATGGCCGCCTGCCAGGCAGCTTACAGAGGTCTATTGGTAGAGTTGGTTATGCATTGGACTGCCACCCACAAGGTCAGCAGTTCAAACCTACCAGTATGAAAGATGAGGCTATCTACTCCTGTAAAGATTTACTGTATTGGAAACCCAAAGGTGTAGTTCTCCTCTGTTCCATAGAAGGAATCAACTAAACGGCAGTTAAGTTTAGTTGCCAGGCAACTTGACCTAACGAGGGGGCCATTCTATTCTCCACCTTACACTGACAGCATGGAAGAGCTTAAGAAAGTTATCAGGGAACAAGGACTGAAGCATGCACTGTATTCAGAGAATTATTAGGATCTGGACAATGAGCTGTTCATGGTGGCATGAAGGACACAATTCATGGTGGCATGAAGCACCCAATCAGTGGTATGGGGACCTAGTGTCTATGTTGAGCCTAATGGCAGGACAATCCATAGTCAAAGCCATTGAAGCCTCAGTCAGCACGGGGGAAATGTACAAGCTATAGCAGGCAGCACAATTCCTGAGCAGTAGGGGCCAAGAGGGACCCAAGTAAAGGAAGTAAACCTGAAACCAAAAAGGGCCCAGTACAGGTGACCAGGAAACAGCTGTGGATAGACATTGTTGCTGGGATGCCCCAGGACAGAGAAAGGGGCATGTAACTCAATACTATAATAGCAGAGCCTGTGACAAAAATTACACTTGGAGCAGCAGTTCACCAAAGGGAATATGGTGCCCGTGATTCTTCCACTCCAAGTGCATAGCCTCAGAGTTATCAGCATGGGAGCTACCAGACTCCCTTGATTAAGTATGGTTGATTAGGTTCTACCAATCTGTGAGTACAGGGCACTGGAGACCCCATGTAGAACTAATTGTTCATTGGTCTTCAAAAACCATACAGACTGATTTAGTCCTTGTTGAAACAGGGGAAAATGTATTTTTTAATTTATGGAAATAATCACAAATTTCAGGGGTTGCTTTGCACCAGGTATGGAAGCAGCACAGTAAAGGTGCACCACGTGGCCCTGACCTGCAAGTTGGTCACTTGTCTCTGTTCCCCTATCCAACCCACCGCACCCCCAAAATAAAAGGTGCACACCTTCCTAATCTCTGAATACATTCTAAAAGTATACCTATTTGGTTAAGTCAATCACCCTTTGTGGGTTAAGTAGACCCCATGCACCTGCCCCAGCCTGGCCAACTATTGAATATTAAGCAAACCACTTGCCTGGGTAGCATGAGAAATATCACAGTTATCACAGCTGAGCTTGCTAGAGTTGGGATCATCAGACCAACCTATAGTCCTTTCAATAGCCAGTGTGGCCCCATGTGAAAACCAGGTGGATCATGGTGCATGATTGTGGACTTTCTAGAGCTCAGTAAAGTTGAACCTCCTCTATGTAGCAGTGGCCAACATTGCTTCACTGTTAAACAGCAACAAGAAAACTTGTGAACCTATCATTTTAAGTTGGATTTACCTAATGTATTCACCAAGATTCTGACAGCAACTGACAGAACAGCTGGCTAACAGTGGCCCTTCACTGTCATTCCCAAATATATTTGCCAAGCTCCATTGTGTGCCATGGTCTGGTGGCACAGGACCTGGAAAGGTGAGCCAAATCTGCGAGGGTGTATATGTTCCACTATACTGATGTCACATTAATCTGTGATTCTGTTGCCCTTTGTCCCAACATGCTGTGCCACAGACGAGATAGCAAGGATGAGCTGTCAATGACGCCACGCTATTAGGGGCTGGATTATCAATTTTATGTTTGCTGTTGTATCATCGGGTTAAAATGAAAAGGGTTCCTGAAGCGGTGACTGATAAAGTACGGCAAGGGCAACAAGGATGCCATACTCCTCTGATTTGGGGTCCTGACTGTGAAAGGATGCAAAAACCAGGTATATCTCTGTGGAAAAATAACCTTGGACCATACACAATAGCTTGGACCTAATGGAAGACATCACCAATGGATCCCTGGCGATAGTACCCATGTACCATCACACATGGCTGGGTTAAGGACTTCATCAAACTAGTCAGGGGTGACACTAGCCATCACACTGACAAAATAGTAATACTTCCAGAAGAGAAGCATCCAGTCAGCTAGTCCCAAATGTTGAGCTACAAGAAATCCTTGGGCCAATAATATATGCCATGGAGTAAATAGACAATTCATAAAGCACAGTGCTGCCTGTGCAGGAAAGCCCCATTCACAAGAAAACTAGGTCCTTGTGAATACCCGAGAGCTGGTACACATGCAGCTTGACCTGAGGCAACCTTCCCCAGTGGATGACAGTGGCTATCCAAGATAGTATGTGGCTAAAAGGTGGGGAGAGGTGGAGAGTTAAGGGCTGCCCTCGTGGTACTGATGCATGAACCCAGTCTTGTAATCCTGTGTATGAACACCTGGGTGGTATACAAAGGACTCACATTATGGTTAGCACAATGGAAAAAACAGGATTGGCTTGTGGGACAGCAGGTCCAGGGGAGTGATTTATGGGTATTGGGCATGGACATGGTCCAGGGTATTGAGTATGGACATGGTTGTGCTTCATCTAGTAGTCCATATCCCAGTCACTCCTCCAGAAAATGCCCAAATGGATGACCTAGCCTGGTTCTGTACTAAATAGCAGGCTCTAACTGCACAGGTGGCAGAGATGGAACAGGCTCCATCAATGATAGGGCAATAAGGACAGCTGCTTGCTTAACAGGCACAGACCTGTTAACACTCTATCAGATCAAACTCACTGCCATCAAGTTGATGCTGACGCAAATTAACCCTATAGGAGAGGGCAGAACTGTCCCTATGAGTTGAACTGATTATGAGAATAGAAAGCCCCAATATCTTGGCAAAATACCCTTTGTGGGCACACTTCCTAAACATTGGCAAGTAGATTACATAGGACCCCTCCTTATGTCTGATACTTGCCTTTATATACCAACAAGTGAAGCTACCACTACCAGCCTGCTGCAAGCCTAAACATAAAGTATGTCACCCAACACTCAGCTGTGCACCACCTATGGCATCTCAACAGACATTGGCAACAATCAGGAAACCCACTTCACTAAAGGAGAGGTACAGAACTGGGCCCACAGCACAAGCATAGCCTAGCACTTTCACCTCCCTTATAATTTCACTGCTGCCAGACTCAGTGAATGGATGAACAGAGTCCTGAAGAAAGCACTACAACATGATATCCATTCACTGCAGTAATGAACCGAGCAACTCCCAGAGGTCCTGCAATGCATCTACAAGTACCAATGGCAAACACAACCCAGCGTCTACAAATTATTAATCCAAGGACTGAAGATCACGAGAATTCAAATATCTAAAAAAGATGAGAAATGCCCTCTACCTCTGCCTAGAAATTCTAACAATCTCCTATTGCTATTGCCACAGGACCTAGGCCCAGGGAGAACGGCTGTCTCTCTCCCATGGACATGGCATACCAGGCCTTGGTGGTTTGGTATTTCAGCCCCTAAAGGACTAATTGGGGCTGTAGGTGTAAACCATGGTTACATACAAGCTTTCAGACTAATCCCA